GTCATCAGTGTGTCCCTGTGTCATCAGTGTGTCGCTGTGTCATCAGTGTGTCACTGTGTCATCAGTGTGTCACTGTGCCATCAGTGTGTCGCTGTGTCATCAGTGTGTCGCTGTGTCATCAGTTTGTCACTGTGTCATCAGTGTGTCACTGTGTCATCAGTGTGTCACTGTGTCATCAGTGTGTCACTGTGTCATCAGTGTGTCGCTGTGTCATCAGTGTGTCGCTGTGTCATCAGTGTGTCGCTGTGTCATCAGTGTGTCGCTGTGTCATCAGTGTGTCACTGTGTCATCAGTGTGTCACTGTGCCATCAGTGTGTCCCTGTGTCATCAGTGTGTCACTGTGTCATCAGTGTGTCTCTGTGTCATCAGTGTGTCACTGTGTCATCAGTGTGTCGCTGTGTCATCAGTGTGTCCCTGTGTCATCAGTGTGTCGCTGTGTCATCAGTGTGTCGCTGTGTCATCAGTGTGTCCCTGTGTCATCAGTGTGTCGCTCTGTCATCAGTGTGTCGCTGTCATCAGTGTGTCGCTGTGTCATCTATGTGTCCCTGTGCCATCAGTGTGTCGCTGTCATCAGTGTGTCGCTGTGTCATCAGTGTGTCGCTGTGTCATCTATGTGTCTCTGTGTCATCAGTGTGTCGCTGTCATCAGTGTGTCGCTGTCATCAGTGTGTCACTGTGTCATCAGTGTGTCCCTGTGTCATCAGTGTGTCGCTGTGTCTTCAGTGTGTCGCTGTCATCAGTGTGTCGCTGTGTCATCTATGTGTCCCTGTGTCATCAGTGTGTCACTGTGTCATCAGTGTGTCCCTGTGTCATCAGTGTGTCACTGTGCCATCAGTGTGTCGCTCTGCCATCAGTGTGTCGCTGTGCCATCAGTGTGTCACTGTGTCATTGTTACGGACCCGAGCCCAAAGTCCGAGCACGGAGCAGTGACGACCGCGCCATCTGTGGGTCAGCTCCCGAAACCCCCTCCAAATGGACGACGACACCTGGTGAGGACGAGGTGTACTGGCCACAAGGGCCAGTTTCCAGTCCTGTTCAGCTCACAACACAGCCGCTGCCGACCTCTGGTGAGGTGGTGCTCAGACGACAACGCCATCTATGGAGTGGATAGGTGGGCGTTTGGGTCTGAGCCTGTAAGTGAGGTGCTTTTGTGTGTCCCTGTTACTGATGACGTGTCTGATTACAGAGTCGACCTGGGACTGCTGTAATGGAAGTTGAGTCAGTCTACCCAAGGCAGCCGTCTCGTCACCAAGTGTTTGCTGCAGCAGCTGTGAGTCGCCCCCCTGGATGAACACTATGGTGTTACCCTGCCTATGAAGTGGCAGTTGAAGGATTGTCATACCCGGGACTGACTGGTGGAGACGCTTAACCACTGGGGAGTTGTGGAAAGGAGAGTGATCTGTGGTATCACACCAGGCTCCTGACTAGGGCGCGACACTAGTATCGCTCGTGGAGTGGCCTAACCAGCGTGGCTGATTTGGAACCTGCCAGCTATCTGCTGGACTTGTGGTTGACGGCCTCCACGACGGTGCCCCCAGTGGAACTGTGTTTTGGCTGGCCTGTGGCCGGGGTAGACTCAAGATTCGCGAAGGATTCGTCGTGAGGCTACGAGAGCACCAAGAGCTTGGTACCGTGAACGTCCAGGGTCTTCAGAGGAAGACTACATAGTGCATATAATAGTGTTTATACCCCCCCCCCCCGTGTAATCTTATATATATTTATTGGTGATGGTAATAATTATAGTATTAAGTTCTTGACTTTATTTCCCTTCCCCTTTAAGTTACTTGCGTTACGGATCTCATCCCTTGAAAGCCACTACTGGCTTGAGGCCGGATACCCTTCCTCTAACAACATCAGAGTAAGAACCCAGTTGCAACCCGAGAGGGCCGGAACAGTCATCAGTGTGTCCCTGTGTCATCAGTGTGTCACTGTGTCATCAGTGTGTTGCTGTGTCATCAGTGTGTTGCTGAGTCATCAGTGTGTCACTGTGTCATCAGTGTGTCACTGTGTCATCAGTGTGTCACTGTGTCATCAGTGTGTCGCTGTATCATCAGTGTGTCACTGTGTCATCAGTGTGTCACTGTGTCATCAGTGTGTCACTGTGTCATCAGTGTGTCGCTGTCATCAGTGTGTCCCTGTGTCATCAGTGTGTCCCTGTGTCACCAGTGTGTCGCTGTGTCATCAGTGTGTCACTGTGTCATCTGTGTGTCACTCTGTCATCTATGTGTCCCTGTGTCATCAGTGTGTCCCTGTATCATCAGTGTGTCCCTGTGTCATCAGTGTGTCACTGTGTTATCAGTGTGTCACTGTGTCATCAGTGTATCAGTGTGTCGCTGTGTCATCAGTGTGTCGCTGTATCATCAGTGTGTCACTATGTCATCCGTGTGTCACTGTGTCATCAGTGTGTCGCTGTGTCATCAGTGTGTCACTGTGTCATCAGTGTGTCCCTGTGTCATCAGTGTGTCACTGTGTCATCAGTGTCTCACTGTGTCATCAGTGTG